AAAACAAAATGTAATCTAAAAAAGATAACTTTTCAAATATTTTCTTTAAAGTTAAAATAGCTTCATGCTGGCATCCAACTTTGAGCGTTTCTAGCTATCCGTACTACGTGGTAAAGAAACCATAATAGTATATTATGAACCCCGTAATGAACTCAAGTGGCTCAGGGCATGAACTGATGTCACTGCAGTGCTTTTGACTGCGATATTTTTGTCGTTCGAGCTCCTCCAGGGGCAGAATTTTCGACACTAGCTACATAGCTAGGTCGAATTCAATCACTATCTGGTGGAGAGTTTTCGCGGTTATGGTAACTGACCCTGACTGACTATGAAGACGACATGATATGGTGAGAGGGGTGAAAAGACGAACATAAATACAACCCTACACGAGGCGGGACTCGAACGCGCAATCCTTCGATCCGAAATCGTATGATAATCGAACCGAAAATGTGTATTGCGAATAGCATGCAATCCAAATATGCTGTAGCAGTGCGGGAATGAAATATGCGGCAGAACAAAAACTGTTGATACTTCAACAGCACATATCTTCTCATAATTTCTTGCAATATTATAATGTTATCTCAAAGATACGCCCATAACGCTTCATTAATTTCAAACAAATTACGCAAAAACGACTTACTTTTTATGCCCAAAGTCCCTTAGGCGTCAATAGATGTCTGCAAGGGAGGGGCAAAATTGAGAGGGAAGCCCCAAATTATCGTTTCCACGTCTCCAAACTTTGCAATAAAAATTGCCATTTAGGACAATATTTTTCGCTTCTTCAATATTCTTAAAGTAATACATCGGTTCTACTATCAAGAAACCGAAAATTTTCACCAATGTACTTTGGCCGGCGATAGATGGTAGCTGGCAAGAGTATGTGGCAAGTGTAAATAGCTAGCTCAGACCAAAGAAAATAGAAAACTAATACGAGAAAGTAAGTGTCATTTATAGCACTACTTGTTATTTTCTCGCATGGTGCTTACGCAGCATAAAGTATTACACTGCTACGGGGGAAAACACCGATTTTTTATGGAAAATTATGATTGTCGGCCTTCGTAACGAAAAATCTTGTTTCTATACGTAATAATTTACGTCCTCTATCGTGAAGTCAGTATTCGCGTTTGGTGAGCCCTTGATACTGAAAAATTGGTTTACGGCAAAAGTCTTGTTGGTCCGGCTGTCTGTGAACAAACTAGAGGCTAAACATTAAGCGGACTTTTCACCAAGATTTGTTTATTCGTATTGATTTGACAGATGTCATGGTCCCTTTAATTTGAAACGGAGATTTTGATTTTGGGGATACTTTAAACGAAGCCTCAACATTTTCGTTTTTTTCTCAAAACTCATTCCAAATTTTTGCGATCGGCGATCGCCAAAGTTTCTCGACAATTAAGCTTAAAGGTCACAAAAATGTGTCAATGTTACTTTTCACATCTAAAGCTGAAAATGATCCCAGTCGCTGACACGCCCGATTGTAAGAACATACGACCGCGTCTTAACGCAGCGCAAATGAGCTGGAGACGCCAGCACTTGGCAATTATGAAGGGGAGAAAATCCAATTTTTTTTTTAAATATTCCTTTTCATAAATAATGTGATAAAATTAAAGGAAATTGATACAATAAAAAAATAATTTGTGAAAAGTAGCAAAATATGTAATATGGTACGTAATTTGTAATGAAAAAAATGGATATTGTGTTAGGACGGTTTGCCAAGATTTCACTTTTTAGAATGGTAAGTAGAAAGAAAAAAAGGATGTAGTTACATAAAAATCTGGTCTCTAATGATTAGAGAGACACAATTTAAAATTGGTTAAAAATGCTTTCAAGGTATTCTATTTGCACTATTCTTTAAAATAAAAATGGCATTAACTAATACCCTGTTTTAACTTTGCACCCTCATAAAACTTAACCATATTACACCATATAATAAACCATACAATACACATAATAAACTGGATAAAACAGTTGTTTTTATCTAAATTTAATTTTAAATGTTTGAGTTAATAGCTATTGCATTCATTTTTAAAATTAATAACACAAAATTACACGCTTTCTGGAGAAAAAAAAACATATTGCATTACATACTGCTACAACATTTGGGTTTGCAGAGATTTTTAAGGAAAAATAAACCAAAACAATAAAACAGAAGGGGCAAACACTATAAAGAATACAACAATAAAATCTTTAAATATTTTTTTGATAAAGCACAGAGAACATTCAGTAATAATAATAATAATAATAATAATAATAATAATAATAATAATAATAATAATAATAATAATAATGACATTTGTAAATGAATTATTTGGAAACTGAATAAAAAAATTAACTAAGAAAATCAAGTCAGCTTAATGTGTCAGAGCATCTCATCTAATGAACACTATTATTAGGACTTAAAAATATCTTCATGAAGTAAACAAAAAAACAGAAAATAAACCATATAGAAATACATAACACAGGTATATGGAGCATAACAAAAACTGAAATTGTTTTATTAACTATCAGTACACAATAATGTTTGTTATATATCACAGTTTTGAACACATATATAAATATATTACAATTGCATTGAAACCAAACAGAACATAATGCAAATAGAAATAAATATCCCATACTCTTTTCTCTTACATCAAAATTCAGTAAATATCTTTCTGTCAGAATGATTCACTAAAATATTACAAATAATAGTGATAAATGACAATTAGACTTTTCGCTTTCACAAAATTGTATTAAAAATATTGCACTACTTTCATCTTCAAGATTTCCTTGTTTGAATTCAAAACAGGAAAAATAGTGTGTATGTATGTGTGTATGTATGTATATTATATATATATATATATTTTTATAAATCTCTTTATAAGTGTTGAACATATATATTTCATGATAAGACAGCATGAGAGAAAAGACGTTCAAATATTGAAAATGGCAAAACCCAATTCAATATTTCATTCATCAAACTAATCTCAAAATGGTCTGTATTTTAATACTAAATTTAAAGCATACTTCCACATTTTTTTAACATACATAGAATTAATCTATTTCATAATTATCTTTTATAATAGGTCTTTATATCAGAACAAAAAAATATACAACAGTTCTTAATATAACACGAGGCCTATGCATAAACTGTCAAAAAACCAGAAACACGAGCTATACTTTGGTTAACAGAACATCAGTGAATACAAAAACAAAACAACAGTATAAGAAATACAGAGAAAAATGGCGTATTCACGTGATAACTATTCACAATACTATGATTATATCAAATATAAACAATCATTTTTTCTGCTATTATTCAGCAAATGGTTGGTTGGTTGTTGTTTTCTCATTGGTTTTTAATTCCACTGTATTAAAAAGCAAATAAAGGCAAGTACATATTTTGGTGGTAACTTCAAAGCCGAATATTATTTCCTTCAGTCTAGACTCATCATCTGACTTATATAACCTCAGAACTCAAGTCTATAAATCGTTGCTCTGCTTCTTCCAAGTTTAGATCATGAACTTTAGAAATTGCATAAACTAGAGCCTGGAAAAATGATTATAAAGAATTTTATTGACTGATTTCTAACTTCAAAGAAAAAACAAAAACAACAGATTATATTATCTTACCTCAGGTACCAAAACATGAAAAAGATAATCTTTACGACTGCCATATCGGGCAATAGTATTAAATTCATCAATTTCCATAAAATATTTGTCAAGACAAGTAATCATTTTCATTCCCTGCAACGTAGAACATAGATATAAAAATAGAAATAACATAGATATAAAAATAGAAATGAAACTGCTACAAAGAATCACTTTGATGGTCCTGATTATTGAAATTAAAACAATTCCATATCTCTGTGTGCACACTAAAAGCATAAAAACATCAATGACAATTATTTTAATTACATTCAATTAATACCAACTTACAAATTTTGAAATAGAATCAACTATGCGTTATATATCACTAATATTATTAGCTAGGAAATGTTCAAATTCTTTCATGGCAACAGTAACACTTAGAAGATGTCAAAGACTTCAAAACTTAATGGAAAAGGTATTTCAAGAAGACAAGGCCATTATTTATTCAGGAAGTTCACATTGTCAGCCTGGATAGACTCTTTTAAAAGTATTATTACCAGTCTAAACTTAGGTAGCAAACATGGCTATCTTGACACGTGAATTGACAACATATTGATATATTGACCATGTAACAACATATCCAGCACACTTTCAAATTGGGAAAAGGTAACACTGGCTCAAATCTGACATCCCAGAAAGTATATGTGGCAGTTGTAATATCAATATAATAAATTTCTGGCCTTTGTGTATGTCGTTTTGCAAGAAATCGTCTTTCAGAACTAATCACTTCATGATTCGAAGTACATTTTGTTACACCCATCTACTTTGTACAAACTTCTTATTACTTCGAAAAATATCAAGTTTCAAGTTTCATTCAACTTCAATGAATTTCTTTGTTCATCTATCACTGTTTACCATTTTTCTGATCCTTCAGATTGTACAGCTTCTTGATAATTTGTTGGCATAAAATGGTGGTGTTTGTATTTTCTTAGGATAAAAAAAAAAAATTTCATTCTTATCATTATTCTTCTGATAAACTTGTCTTCATTCCTCTGGAACATCATTAATAACATCTTCTACATCTTCAACAATGTCATCTTTAATCTGCTCATTAGAAACTTCATTTTCTTCCTCAATAATAGTTTATAAGAAATGTCCACATCATCATTAATAATTATTTGTACATTTTTTTATCTCTATAACAATCTAAGCTCTGTATATCAATTAATTTTCTGATACTCTTTTTTATTTGTTGTTATAACTTTTTATTATTGAATTTAATATCTCTACACACATTTACAAATCTCTTCTCTGGAAAGTAAATATGATATCCACAATAATTAAAACCAACAATATAGCTTTTCCTGCATACTATTGATTACAGCTTCCTTCTGAGCAGTACCAAACATCTTCAAAACATTGTTTTATCCATATGTGTCCATCAAATATTAAAACATCAATTCATCCTGTTCCAAAAAATTTAATTTGTACCCCATTCTTCTTTTCATTTCCTTTGGTACATCAAATATTTGATATTCAACATTCTTATCACACCTGTGCATCACATGATGAGTTGCTCCATTATCAAAACATCAATCTTCATATCAACTGATACAACTCAATGTATAAACATAACTCATCATATTTCATTTCTTTAACTTCACAAGAAAAAACATAATTCCTCAAGTTTTTTTCTTTTGCAGGTATATTAGCATAAACTTATTCTGAAGTCATTACAATTTTTGCCCTTATTTTCATTTGTAAATTCATTTGAACAATGTCCTTTAGCTATGCATTTTAAAAGAAATACCTTCTCCCATCAATTGCTTAATTTGATGTTTTTCATCCACCATTGCTAAAAATTCATCTTTATTGATCTTCAAATATCATCAAAATTGTTCTTATTTAATATTTTTCTTGACCTTCAATTATATATATATATATTTTTTTCTCTTGAACATGGAACCATACTCTACTACCATTTCAGAATAATAAGCTCAGCAATCATAAGAATTAATATAAAGTATCAAAACAAATGTTGATATTCAAGGGGATTAATTTGGAAATTTGATACTATACTTCTGTAAAATTTGAAAAACAGTGAATAATTTTTCTCCCTACAATAAAAATAAATGAAGAATTTGATGGTTTCTAAAACAATTTAAGGGCATCCTTTAAGATACTTGAATGAGCAATCGTGAAGAGAAAATGAATAAAATACTAATGAAATCATTTAAATTATTAAAACCTTTTAGTTGATCAATTTCTACAATGCCTATTATTTACTGAGCACAAAAATATGTAAGCCATTCTGTTAGAGCCCAAAAATATGTAAATTTCAATGTAATGTAAATGTAAATTAAAGTAGAAAAAATGTCGATAAAAAAGTGGTTCAAGGTACAAAGATCTTCACTACGCAGTTTTTGCAATGACTACAATTATTTCTGTTACTGGTCAAAGAATTCCATTAATGCAGATTGCCATTGACCAAATTCTCAATTTTAAAAATCTCTTCTTCACAACTTAGAAAGTACAGCAGCAAAGTTGTATCTTTAAAAAATATTGGCATGCTGTTCTTTGAAAATTATAATTTTTTTATTTCTTACCGTTTTATATGAGAATGGTCCAAGGCCACTATTGAGAAATAATGACTGCTGTTTGGCACAACTTTTTGTCATAAAAAGAGAATGTCTCCAACTTTCAGTAAATCCACTAAAAACTTGTTGAAGATGCTCTTTACACACTGGACTTTCTATGACATCTAAAAGCAGCTTCGCTTCTCCATCTATCTGTTGTAGAAAGTTACCACAAAATGAAAAGAAGAAATAAATGTCAAGCATTTCGCCAAACAATAGAACTAATCACAAGAAAAATGGAACAGTATTTTTCTCTTTTCTCGCTCTCCCTTTCCAGAAGAACAAAACAAGTTAGCATTACATCTGCAAGTGTATTTCAAAGTAACATATAACATGAGCACCACTGATTTTTCAAAGTAATCATCAGACAATAAAATCCTATTTGGCAAATATACAAAACCTGCAAAGATAAACAGTCATTCAAGAGGCGTGAATGAACAGGTGAATTATTTAAAATATATATTTCATACACAAGTATTTAAATACTGTCCAACCCCACTCATTACAAATTGTCCAACATTTGGGCAAAAACTAAATATTTTCAAGCAAATATCAACACAATGTAGACACTTATAACTGATTTCCATGCAGGTAAATCATATTCCAACACTAAGTTGAAAATCACGAAAATGAGCTTCCGTGTCATTGTTGTCAAGTCATTGTAGCATACCAATCTAATATATCCTGAGAGCTAGCAGTACAGGTTTTAAATGATTTCTAAAAGATTAATGAGTAAATTTATAATAAAAGCTGAATATAAGAAATGAACAAATATATATGAAATATACAAATA